CAGCATGGACACCCCTGTGGTGTTTAGGACCTGTTCACTCATGCATCACTCCACAAGCATGTCAGCATTGTCTGTGTGCCAAGTCCTGGCCTAGGGGTTTATAGCACACTAGGACTCTGTTTTTGCCTCTGTGAAGAGCTCCCCTTCCAGTTCCATTCAACAGGCCTCTATGGAGCTACAGTGTGAAAGGATCTGGAATTAAGGGAGGAAGGAGGGGAGGAAGGTTGGAGAAAGCTCCACAGAGGAGGTGAAAGCCAAGGAAGAGTTCAGTAGGTGGGGCTAGGGAAGGCCTCAGAGCAGGAGGAGGAGCATGTGCAAAGGCCCGGGGGCATGGACATGCACGGCATCTTGGAGCTGGGTGGGGAGAGCGGCCTCAGACATCTGAGAAAGCTTTCTTATTTTTTAATTAAACTATAGTCAGTTCACCATGTGTCGGTTTCTGGTGTGGAGAAAAGAGAACCCTCCTATAGTGCTGGTAGGAATGTTGCTTGGTACAGCCACTATGGAAAACAGTACGGAGATAACTTAAAAACTAAAAATAGACTTACCTTACAACCCAGCAATCTTACTACTGGGCATATATCCGGAGGAAACTCCAATTTGAAAAGCTACATGCACCCCAGTGTTCATAGCAGTGCTATTTACAACAGCCAGGACATGGAAACAACTTGAGAAAGGGTTTGGGTAAAGCCAGTTAGGGTCCTTGTGCTCTGGGACGTTACGGACTGTTGTCATAGATGGGGAAGGTAAATCCAGCCTCTGTCAGGACTTCGATTTTAAGAAGTAGATCCTCGGGACCAACTCTTGTTCACCAGACGGAGTGGATGCCGGAGAGGGTGAGGCAGGGGCATTAGGAAGAGACCACCCAGAGGGGAGACTGGAGGCTGCAGGAAGGGGTTTCACCCTTGCAGCCACCACTGCTTGTGGGGAGTCAGGAAGGGTCTGCATGGGGTGGGGCCAGGATGCTGGCAGCTCTGTGCTGCTGGGCCCTGTTGCTCTGCCAGGGGACCGCGAATGTAGTGTCTGCTGGCCACATCCTGGTCGGTGAATGGCCTGCTGGTGGCCCCAGCATGATAGGTCTTCTTCCAAGATGCCTGCTGGGAGTCGGGGCTGGGGGAACATGTTTCAGCGCTGAAGCCAGCAGCCCCTCCAGCACCCCACTCATCACTCCCCCTGCTGCAGTTTCTCCCCTCTGATGCTGTTTTCTATGCTGGCCTCTCCCCTGCTCACTGGTGTGTGTTGAGACAGGGTGTTTGATATTTTTGTTAGTGTTTTCTTGCTTAGCCTTCACTCTGCTTCATCTCCTCCCCCTTCCCTTGTTGCCCGTTGAGATGATTAGTCAGGCTAGTTGACATTTTTCTACTTGAAATGTTTCAGTTTAACTGCTGCTGGCTAAATATATTTTGACCTCAGCTCTGGACTATGACTCTCTCCTCAGCCAGTGAGACCAAGGAAGCTTGGTGCCAAAACCTTCTCTCTCTTTCGTTTTGGACTGAGATGATCCTTAGCGGATTGAAAAGGATCCCTCACGTCCTGGGGGTCGTTTTGCAACCCAGTTCAGAGATGGGGTTTGGCCCCCTGGGCTGCCCAGGTGTGTGAATGCACCTGTCACAGAAGCATCTGATTTGGCGCACAGAGCTGGCCCGCGATGTGTGTCCAAATGTGCTTGGCCCTGGTACCGTCTGTCTTTATAAATCCCAGGGGGCAATTTACATAGTTCTTCTGGGCCCCAGGGAGACTTGGACCAGCTCTGAGTAGCCACAGACTCTGGCAGCATATTAAATATTGGACTGAGACGAAGGGAAAAGAAAGTCAAGGCATTAGCAAGTCTTTGACAGGATTGTTGGAGGCCACAGAAAGAGTTTATAGATGGCAAGATGTCCCCTTCTAATTCCAGGCAAATAGGACCCTCTGGACAAAGCCCTTCACCCTGCGGGCTTGACCGGGGTAGGCTGTGCCACTCAGACTGGTCAAACTCAGTACAGGATGGGAAAGGGGAGGGGAAGAGGGCAGGACAGAGTGCCCCCTTAGCAGAGGGTGTTTAAACTAGTGCCTGCGCACACATACCTCTGAGCTTGAGATGGAGATCCCAGAGACCGTGCCAATTCAGCCTCTATGTTCACCTACGAATTCTTTAATCCACTTACCATATGTATAGTAAGGATCCACAATACAAGTGACAACTGAGCCCAGCCCCAGGTCTTGGCATGCAGAGAGAAACAGGACAGATGTAAGACTCAAGAGGGGAAGACAATGATCAAGTAATTACAAATAGGATGAGAGTCTCAAAGGGGACAGATAGGGGACAATGGGGGCATTTAACAGGAAAGCTGACCCAGGCTGGGGTGGCAGGGGCATGGAAGGCCTCCTTGATGCAGTGACTTTTAATCTGAGTGTCAGGTATAAACTGAAATTACATTAGGTGAAAAGGTGAGAGAGATGTGTATCCAGCAGGGGCAAGAGTAAGTGCAAAGGCCCTGAGGCAAGAGAGAGGAAGGGGAATAATAAAGGAAGGCTGAAGCTGAGAGACCTGCAGGGGACAGCAGTAGCAAAAGATGAGGCTAGAGAGAGGGGTTGATGCTGTATCATGGAAGGTTCTAGAGGTTAAATAAAAGATGGGGGCTTCATGCAAAGGCTTCTGGGAAGCCTTAACATCATTTTAAGCACAGAAGTAACATGATCAGAATTGTGTTTTTAAAATATTACTCTACCTGTTATTTGAGGAAGGGTCAGAGGGACAAAAGTGGAGGCAGGAGTCTAGTAGGAGGCTGGTCAGGGCATGAGGATGGCTTGCCCTTGGAGCAGTAGCAGTGAAGATAGAAGGCATGGAGATATTTGTCTTCCGGGGTGTCACTGACAGGTGATGGATCATATGAGGTCTGTCAAGGAAGGTGTCTCCCAGTGGAGACTTGAGGGAAGTGAGGGAGCGAGCCATGTGGTTATGACCACTTGAGGGAAGTGAGGGAGCGAGCCACGTGGTTATGACCTGGGGCAAGTGTTTTTGGGTGGAGGACACAGTGAGCATGAAAACAGACTGGCTGGGAGTGTGTAAGCCTGGAGGCTAATGCTGGGTAGGGATGGGGGTGATGACGGTGGTGGGAGATGAGACCAGGAGATGAGGGCAGAGAAGTGGCAGGGTCGGTGGGGGAGCAATCTTGTAGGTCCCTGAAGGTCCTCTGAGACAGCCGGGAAGGCTTTGGAGGGTTTAAAACTTGGGAATGACCTATTTTGACTTACTTTTGTATTTATAAAAGATCACAAAGGCTGTTACGTTGAGAAGAGGTTCAGGGAGCAGCAGAGAGAAGGTGGAACAGACAGACCAGTGATGAAAGGATTGTCATAGTTCAGATGAGACAAGATGGCGGCTTGGACCAGAGGCAGAGCTGTGGGTGGTGCGGCGCGGTTGGGCTCTGGATATTTTTGGAACAAATGGAGCGGAGTGGAGTGTGAGAGAAAGAGTAGAACCGAGGCTTCAGGCCTGAGGAACTGGGAGATGTGTTCTGTCCCAGGATGGGGAAGCTGATGGGAGGAGCTGGTTTGGAGAGGAAAGAGTGATCTCGTGAGATTTCAAAATGTAGAACAGATAAACAAGATTATAATGTATAGCACAGAGAAATATATATATAATCTTATAGTAGCTCACAGAGAAAAAAAATGTGACAATGAATATATGTATGTTCATGGATAACTGAAAAATTGTGCTCTTCACTGGAATTTGACACAACATTGTAAAATGATTATAACTCAATAAAAAATGTTAAAAAAAAGAAAAAGAATGATCTCAAACGTGTTTAGTTTGAGATATCTACTTAACATCAGTGGGGCAGGCAGCAGGGTCTGGAATGAGGGAAAGCTGGAAAGTCAGCCTTGTGGGCGGTGTGGAAAGCCATACACTGGCTGGGCTCACGCACTCAGGGAGTGAGAGTAGGCATAGAGGAGTTCTCAGGGCTGAGCACTGGGGTTAATAAACCACTGCTCATTAGCAGGAAAATAAGGAGATGAGAATGAACTGCAGGGAAAAGGAAGAGAGGCAAGACTGAGCGAGTTCCCAGAGGCAGGGAGAGGAAGGTATTTCAAGATGGAGGGAGGGCCAGCTGTGTCCTGTGCTGCTGACAGGTCAAGTCAGATGAGAAATGAAAATGGGAAGCCTGTGTAGGCACTGGAGGAGTCACTGGTTACCTTTATGAATCCAATTTCAGGGAGAGGTGGGATTGAGAGCCTGAATAGAGAGGTTCAAAGAGAACAGTTTGGAGTAAGTCCAGCCTGCAGCTCAGGGGACGGCGTCCCAGATGAGCAGCAGGGACTGACCATCTGGGGAAGCTGTTGGGACCACAGCCAAATGGTCTGGGGAGAAAGGCAGAGCTTCCGACCCCAGCAGGAGAAACCAAAGCACAAAAAATACAAACTAGGAAGAAAGGAATAGTTGAGAACGTGGCCAGGGTGGAAGGCTTCAGATTGGGGGCACTCTGGTTCCAGGCTCAGGGAGCAAGACTCGTTCCAGATGCTTCCATTGGTGGGGAGAGGACTTTATCTTCACCACCAGACTGGGACAGGGCTGGCTGGGACAGGATGGGAATGGGACCAGCATGTGAAGGTCTTCGGTGCCTGCAGCTGAGCAGGGCAGTGGCTCTCACTCTGACTGCACGTACATTACAATGATCTGGGACGCTTTTCAAAACTGCAGAGCTCTGGCCCCGCCTCTGAGAATCCTGGTCTACCCATTTTTAGTGGGGCTCTGCCCCATTTTCAGACATCTTCCCAGGTGACTGTAATGTGCCACCAGCTTCAGCTAATTCCTGAGTTTGGGACTGAGCCAGTGTGGGAGGCACTTGGAGATAAAGGGGCCATAGGGAAGGTCAGCCCTGGCACTGGGCGGGCCGTAACTGCTGTATCTCTGAAGGAATTTGTTGACTTTCCTCAGAACAGCAATTCTCCTAAAATTTACCAAAATGAAAATTTTGATTAATTATAGCTCCCCAGAGGCTGGAGAAAAACATCACTTGGCACTAGAAACAAGCTTTATTCTGGTGGTGCAGATAATTTTGCAGACACTAGATACTGAGTTTCACATACTCTTCTGGAATTCCAACACACTACATCCTAGAATGCAGAGAGACACAGTCACGGCCAATTGTTCGTGCTGCCACCCGGACCAAGTGCTTCCAGGGACCCTGTTGGGGTCCTTCACCCTTTAGTTCTGAATTTCCATGATGATCTGGGCAGATGTGGTTCTTATTGCCCAGCATTTCTTGCTTTGGGGAACTTTTGTCCCATTATGTGCAGTTTGGGTAGGTTGACAATGACAATAGTTAACTCCACCTCTGCCTGTAGAGACATAATCCAGGAGAAGCCAACTAGAGTTGGACAACACAATCTCTGGAAACAGTGATTGGCTCAAGGAGGGAGGCGTGGAATTCAAAAAGGGCCAATCAGCATTGTTTTGGGTGGGGGGGGAGTAAAATTCTTTCCTGAAGATGCCAAGCTGGAGAGGGTGGGTCTGGATTTACCAGTTGCCATTGTCCTCACACTGTGTGGATAAGGAAGCTTGTTTGTAGAATAAAGGCCAGGAGAGATGAGGTAGAGAAGGAGGGGGGGATGGAGGGGGAGCGAGAAAAGAGAGACAGAGAGAGACAGAGTTCTGTCAACAGTAGGGTTGGTTCCAGGGCTCCAGGCTTTCAAACTCACTGGAACTTTCATTCCTGTGAGCTCTCCGTGCACCCTTTTAGGGTTAAGCTTTGTAGAGTTGGGTTCTGTCTCTTGCAACAAGAGCATCCTGACTAAGACAGAAGACCTCTTGGTTTCTCACGGACCCCAGGGAAAGGTGGGAGTGTGGGGGATGCATTGAAGAGTGAGGCAGGCGTGGTCAAAGAGCCTGTGAGGCAGCTGCCCCTGGGAAGACCAGGTGTCCGTCTCGGGGTCGTAGCAGTCAAAAGAGGCCGAGTCCTCGATGTTACAGTCCGTGGTCAGCCGCCGCCCGCCCGTCACGTACAGCTTGTTCCCCATCACTGTGGCCCCGTGGTGCATCCTCCGGTCTTTCATGTCTGCACATTTGGCAAACTTGTTGGACTGAGGGTCATAAGCAAGGATCCTCCTCGTGTAACCTGAAAACCAAATGGCAGATTGGCAAGGTCAACGATGCCTCTTTGGGACTGGAGGTCAGTGGTCTGGGATCTCTGCTATCGTCTAACCCTGAGGTTGGACTCTGAACTAAAGTGTAGACTGTTTCCATAACCTGCCACAGCCTGTCTCGTGTGTGGCAGGGCTGGGGTTTGGACCTGGGTCTGTCTGACTCCAGTCTCTGCATCTTAACGTGAAGTGAAGGCAGCACTTGTGTCATTCTGAGATGGAGAGCAGCCTCCTGATTCCAGTGGCCTTCTCAGCCTCGTTGGTTTTTTCATCTTTCTCATATGCTCATCCAAGAGATGCTCATCAATGCAAGGAAGGAGCCTTTGGGAACTCAGAAGTGAGTACCCCACAACAGTCCTATCTGGGGGGGTACTTGTAGGATCCCCATTTGACAGAGCAGCAAACAGAGGCACAAAGAGATTAATAATTTGCCTAAGAGTATACAGCCAGTAGGGGCAGAGTTAGGATTTGAACTCAGGTTTATCTGACCCCCAAACCAGCTCTGCTAACCCTGGCATACTGCAGTTACAGAGAAATGATCCTTAGTAGTTAATCTTATTTACAATAGCAAATGTTTTTTGATTATTTGCTCCAGGTCTGGGATGGTGCTAAGTGGTTTAAACATGTGAGCATATTTTATTGTCACAATTCTGTGACATAGGTATTATCTCACTCCTTGTTTGCAGATAAAGATGGGAGAAACTTCTGGATGAGAAAGGAACTTTGTCAGGTTGTCCACGCTCCCCTAGTTGGATGGTTGTGCTTTTAAAAAGACTGTCCTGCAGAACAACATCTATCAGTGACCCGTTTTCCACGGGAGATGCCAAGTTTGTGTCCAGTCTCCCAATCCTCTGTTCAAACTCACCTCCCACAATGACAATCCGCTCCCCAAGCACCACGGCAGGGGCACATACATTCTTGATCATTCTTGTCTCCATTTTGAACCACGTGTTTCTGGAAATGTGATAAACCTGAGGGAGAAACGTAATCATGGTGCTGCGTTTTAAAATGATACATTTAAAAAAGATTTTTTTTTAGTTGGAGTATAGTCAGTTTACAATGTTGTGTCAGTTTCTGGTGTACAGCACAGTGTTTCAGTCATACATATACCTGCATATATTCCTTTTCATATTCTTTTTCATTTTTATTATATGTTACTACAAGATATTGAACATAGTTCTCTGTGCTGTACAATATGAGCTTGTTTAAAGTGATACATGTTCTTAAAAGATAGAATTAGCAGTTAAGAGGGTGAACAAGCAGTGATTTCTTTTTCTTTTCACTTTGTCCCCTAGTCCTTAAAGTGTAAATATTATTACTATCAGCAAACAAAATATGATTAGCTGACAGAAAGAAGAATGTTGCTAGAGACTGGCCTTTCTGAGACCAGTGCTGTGTTTCTGTAGGATGGACCGAGAATTATGCATTTGTAGTATGGGTTTGCTCACTGTGCGTGGAGCATCTCCTTCAGTAAGAAATGGAGCAACTTGCATATGCAGAAAACCAATCATTTTCCAAGCATTTTTATTTCTGGCTTGTGTTTAAATTTCTAAATGTTCCAGGGTATCTGAAAGGGTCTTACGGCCAAGAATAAATCTGGGACTAAATGAGGAAGGTTTTTGAACAGTTCATGCCTGAAAGTCATTAAAATCATAGGAAAACAGACCTCATGAGAACAGGAAGAAAGAGCAAAGAGGTGGGGGCAGCATTTCTTGGCCATGGTCTGAAATAGAGAGCAAATCGTGATTCCTAGAACATATTCTCCTGTTAAATCCCTCAGTCTAAAGTTTAAATGTCAAATGTAAATTAGTTCATTACTGAACTAAATTCAGTTCACAAAATTTAGCCCAAGAAATGTAGGATGGGCTTCATACAAGAAAAGAAGGAGCAAAAACATTCATTTACAGAGGAAAATTGTGCAGTATTCTTCCCTGGAAATGCTTTCTGCATAAAATATAATCACCACAGTGAAGGCCTTATCTTTTATCATTTTACCAAATTTGATCTTCACAACTGTCTTATGGAGCCGGTAGCATTACTTCCCTCCATTTTTTCAGATTGGACCATTGAGGCTGAGAGAGGTTGAGCGACACGCCTGAGGTCACCCAGGGAGAGTGAGTAGAGGAATCGGTCTGGCTGAGCCCAGAGTCCATGCTTTCCTCCAGCCCGCTCATGGCTCTGCGGAGGGCCATGGACGTGTGGCTTTTCTTCCTCTTGGCTTTCTGCTCTCTGTCAGCTTTGAGGATGGTTTCAAAAACAGGTTATATATTTGCTCACCATCCTCATGAAACCCCCAGAGAGACTGAGGCAAGGACAACAAAGAGTGGTCTTTGACCCGTGGAGGAAGTGATACTTTGTTATGGTAAAGGATTTGCTTAATGGCATCCTGCAGCAGAGGTAGGAAGAGGGCCAGCTAGAAATGCACACGTACACACACGATTTGCACGATAACCTCACAGCCATATAGTCCTTAAAAGAAAGCTTGTGTGCAGATAAACCATCCTGTGAAGAAGTCTTTGAACCTATGCCTGAAAATCCAACCTACCCCGTCCAGTAGCCCCAACCATTCATCTTGAATTTTTTTTTTGAAATCGTATTTTTTGGAAATGGAAATTGTACTCATTCAGATAGTACAATTTCCATTACAAAGCTAGTAGCCAAGAAGAGCTTCCAAATCAACACTGTTTCCGTTTTCCCCTTCTCACGAGTGCAGTGTACAAGGATCGCTCGCGTGTTCGTTGTTTTTTGGCTTTGCAAGGTTCTTGTTTGATTGTCCTATGCATTTCTTGACGAGCGAGCTTAAACGCTTTTTTGAGCTTTGTATTTATTCTAAGGAATTGATAACAATTTTGTTTTGTGAGGTTATCAGCGTATTTGTTGACTTTATTTCGAAAAATTGTTATTAAAAAGAGCAGGAGGGGCTTTAGCTTGAGGTAGAAGCACCTGTGCTGTGGCCAGAGCTTGGAGGGAACAGAACATGTCTCTCTTGGCTCAAGCAAATGAGGGGGATTTGAAGCAAATTTAAAATCTGCCTAGATGGTCAGGGAGGAGCTGAAAATATGGGCTGGAGAAGTGAAGGAAAGAAAAAAACAAGAAAAGAATAAAAACGGAGTTTGTTGCTTTTTTCCATCTCCACTGGCACCAACTTAGTCCAAGCGGCCACCATCCCTCTCCTGGACCTAGAGGTTCTAGAAGAACCTCCAACTCTCCTTCCTTCGTCCTCTCAGGCCTCCTCCAGTGCCTTCTCTGCAAGGCATCCAGAAGGAACTTCTGAACATGCAAATTTGACTGTTCCACCTACCCTGCCGCTCTCAGACCCAAACCCCAATTCCTTGACAAAGCCTGGAAAGCCCTGCCAGATCAGCCTCATCTCCACAAACCCATTCCCCAAGAATGTTCTAGAAGTTCCCTTGGAGGGGCTCAGGGGCAGCAGATTGGGTGGAGTGGGTCGCTCAGTGTGGCTTGGAAAGGGGGCTGGGAGAGATTATGTGGGGCCTAACCCCCCACTCCGCCTGGGTGCACAGCCTCTCTCCCCCTTCCTCCGTGCTGCAACTACACGGTCCTGCTGTTGCGTCCTCCAGGTGATGGGCTGTGCCCCCTTTCTGCTTCAGGACCTTCGTGCAGGCTGTTCCCTCACCCAGGAACACCACCCCTTCCTCAGCGGAGGAGTCTTGACTCCGGCTTCAGATGGCAGACTCGTCTGCCCAGAGAAGCTTCCTGCCCCTCTCCGTCCATGTCAGGGCCCTCTGTCTACCCTAGGCTTCTTCCTTCTCTTTTACTCTTTATCCTTACCTGCCTTCTCTCGCCTCCTTCCTCTCCACTCAGGCAGCTTAAACCAGCCTCACAGAGATCCCTCCAAAGTTCCCTGAACCCTCACCTGCTCCCTGATTCCCTTGAGACTGGTTTGGGGCACCCCTATGTTCTTAGAGCACCCCTCGATTCAGCACTGAATTGCAGCGGTCTTGTGAGCTCCCGGAGCTCATGCCTGGGTCCCCAGGGCCTTCACCGTGGTTGGCATGCAGTGTAACTTCTCTAATGAATAGAGCAAATCTCAGGAGCCTCCTTGATTGTCTTTGTTTTTTTTTTTTTTTGTTATTGTTGTTAATGGAGGTACTGGGGATTGAACCCAGGACCTCGGGTGCATGCTAAGCACACGCTCTACCACTGAGCTATACCCTCTCCATCCTTAATTTTCTTTAAAGAGAGGCTTGTTATTCAAGTTTTTATATCATTAGGTGAACTGCAGAGATTAGCATAAAGTTGGAAAACACCTAATATTCTGAAATGTTGTTCTTTATTAATCACGCTTCTCAGAGGGCTTCTTAGTGAAATCAGCGCCTTCCTATCATTTAAGGCAAGGGTTTCACAACCTGGCTGTGCCTGAGAATCTCCTGCAAACTTCTGTAAACAGTGAACGTCCAGACCTAACACTTAGAGATTTTGATTCAGCAGATCTAAGGGCAGGTTCCAGGGGATGTGGTAACAGACTATGGACTAATGCTTGAGAATCTTCTATTAAGGCCTTACTGACTTGGGTTTAAAGGATCTGCAATATTCCTACAGGACCTGACTATCCAGCATTTGGTGTGTTCTAGCTAGAACTTTTAGATGTCTCTGATGTACCTTTGAATGTATTAATCTTACACAAAAAGAATTCATAAATGAATTAAATCTGGCTGATATTAAACTATCTTCTTTCCTTCTCTCCCTCCCTTCTTTTTCCTCCCCCTGCAAATTACAAGTGTGTATTATATGTATGTGTGTGTACGTACGTATGTATGTATCATGTGTATGCTCATGCACATTTGCGTGTATTTGCATGTATGTGTCACGTGTATGCATGTGCACGTGTATGCATGTAGGTATGCATATGTGTGTGTGTGTGTGTGTGTGTGTGTGTAGGCATGGTGGGGAGGATCATTTACCTGGATAAGGCGCACAGGGTTCTGCATGATGTCCTCTCCCCCAAAAAGGTAGAGTCTTTGGTCTTTCACTGCGACCGCAGGGTGGAGGACCCCCACTGGCATGCTGGCCATGCTCTCCCAGACATTGCAGATGCTGTCATATCTCTCCATGGAGCCCATGACCTCGTGCCCTTCTCCAATGCCCCCAATGGAGAAGATGAAGTTCTTGTGGGCAGTGCTTCGGTGGGAGTAGCGGGCCACCAGCATGGGCTGCCCCAGCCTCCACTGATTGAGTTTCAGGGAGAAGATGTAGACGTTGTGACTGGGCACGCTCTTCCCTGCACCCACAGCCATGCCTCCCAGCACGTAGATGCTGCGGTGCAAGGTGACGGCCGAGGCCTTGTACAGCCGGGCCGGGAGTTTGGCCAGGCTCTGCCACTGGCCGGTCTGTCCATCGTAGAGCAGAACATCCCTAGTGGTCTGCTGGTTGTCCTTCCTTCCACCCAAGAGGATGAGGAAATCTTGGTAAGATCTTCTTGGGGGGACGTGCCACAGAGGGTGGAGGTCGGGGGCACAGGTGGTGCTGTACAAAGAAAACATCTGCTTCTTGGCTGTCTCCAGGATGGTCTGGCAGGGGGGCGAGGACTGGAGGAGGGTGTCATTGGCGATGAAGTGATGGAAGAAGGCTGGGTGGACGTACTGAAGCCTGACCTGCCTGAACAGTTCCTGCATGTATCGTTTCCGGGTCCGGAGGTCATGCTTGACCCAAACCATGAGGGCTTCGAACACCTTCTCCTCCTCCCCACAGAGCCCATCGTCTCCCAGGTAATCTCGCAATTCCAAGGCACAGAGCTCCTTCAGGTCAGCCGATGCCGCCACTTCTGGGAAATACACCAGGGCCACCTCCCTGGCTCTCTTCCTGAGGCTCTCACAGCTTAAGATTTCAGACAGTCTGATCAAGCCCAGGCAGTTGCTGGGGGTCAGCTGGCTCTGGAGGTAAGAGGAGCAGGCCTCGAACAGCTTGGGGTACTGCAGCAGGGAGGCGGCCTCCATCAAGGGCAGGACCGTGTTGGCGGTGATGTGCACCTCGCCTGTATACACATACAGGATGATCCGCTCCAGAGTCGGGGAGTCGATGCCTTTCAGCTGGACTTTGGCCTCCCTGCTCTCCCGGAAGTTGCTGCAGAACATGGCCCTGAAGTAGGGGCTGCTGGAGGCCAGCACATTGCGGTGACAGGGTACCTCCCAGGCCCCGGTGCAGATGCTCACGTCGGTTAGGATCCTGTTTTGCCTTAAGCTGTTGAGCTGCCTCAACAAGTCAGAGGAGAAGTCATGGTCTTTGAAGAGCAGTGCATCTGGCGACTCCTCGTCCATCCTACAAAGATGGGGAGAATTCACAAGAGGGAGCACGTGCTGGAGGGTTGAACTGTGGTGACTCCAAGATTTAGAGCATCTATGTCCATTCACCGAGATGCTTGTGGGTATTGCCAAGAATATCGCTTAGTGAAGGTTGGAAGGGGAGGCCACCTACACCTTAGACCTCACAGCTGACACCTCTCTGTGTGCTTACGATTGCTCTCAAAGGTACCAGGCAAACAGCATCTGCAGACAACCTGAGAAAAACAAAACAAAACAAAAGAAAAACCAGAAAAAGAAGGTGGCTGGATAAATTGGGCAAGTTGAAGTTGGCAAATGGTCACAGGGGCTGAGAGGTTTGCCTGAAGCAAGATGACAGTCCGTGCATTTGACCCGCAGAAGTCTGTGAACTTTTCTCCAAATTCTCAGCATATCTGTTTACTAAAGTAAACTCATCTAAACATCTTTCTGGGTGTTCATCATTCCCCAAGGATGTCGTTCTGGGGGCGTGGCCTTCTGGTGACTAGACAGAAATGAGGGACAAAAATGGACCTTTGCAGTGTTTTTGTTTTCAAACATGACTTCATGGAGTCTTTCGGGTTTGTTTTACAAAAGGGATAAATAGAAGGCAGAGACCACACAATACCTGGACAGGGTTTTTGGATGACCTCTGGCAGGCTCCCTGCAGAAGAATTAAACATTAGAGACATTTACCTTGTTTTGCTGCCGTGACATCCACCGATGGCTGCTCTGGTCGGTCCCTCCTGAGAGTTTCCACCTCTGGCTCCAAGTGAAACCATAAACCCAGGCCTTTCCTTCAGCTGGCAAATAATTTGTTCTGGGAGAATTCTGGATTTGTTTATGCTGAAGGCACTTTCACAGTTTTCTAGAGCTTTGTGAAAGAACCGCTGGGGAGGGAGACAGTGTATACATTCCAGGGCTAAGAATAGTTGCATATGTACTTTCCACTGTTATGACATGTGACTTTCCAGTTGCCTTTTGCAGCAACCCGAGGGCCTGCAGACCCGACGCATGCCCACATGCCGTGTTTCCTTGGCAAGTGTTTACATCGGCAGAAATAGATCTGGAGGAACAGCTTCTCTTAGAGAAGACTTTGCTGCCCACTTGGACACAACCCGAGTCCCTTGTCCTAAAAGTGCCTGGGAATTCTAGATGTCTGTAAACAGGTTGCCGTGACCTGGGAAGAGTCACTGAAGATAGTTCTGGGCAAGCTGAAGGTGGCAGATGGTCACAGGAAGCCAGAACATGGGCCCAAGGGTGGCTGTTCAGTGGGTCTTTGTTCCCTACCGTCTGCTGGCAGGATTGCTGGAGAGGGCTGTGAGGTGATGGTGTCTGTGATGAAAGTTGTTTTTAATATTTTTGGAGTGTCCCAGAGTTTTCAGACTTGGGAGAGACCAAAACTTTATTGATCCTCCTTATCACAGGAGCTTCTGTTTTAAGGTGGCAAGGGCAGAGCCCTGCTGACTGTTGAGTTAGCGTTTTATAGTTCAGGCTTGCTTTTCTGTTTTATTTTTGCATTTTATCCTGTCAGGGAGGCTTGATCTAGAGGCAGGAGGCAAGGTATATTGCTCCAGGAAAAAAAAGCGAGAGAGAGAGAGGAGGAGGAGAAAGAGAGAAAGAGAGGAGGAAGAGGTGGAGGAGGACGATGGTGATGGAGTGGGAAGCAGCTTCCAAATGTAAGGATCAGAACCATGATGGGGGGCTGTAGAACCACCAGGATGAACACGAGGGACCCCAGGTCTGTCCTGCCTCTGCCTCCAGCAGTGAATGGCAGGGAAGCCTGGCTTTCTCACCTTCTCCAATCTTGCTTGGACTATTGCAACAGCCTCCCATGCTCCTAGTCTCTCTCCCTCTAGTACAGCCACCTTATCAGCACCAGAATAATCCTGGAGAAAGCAAACCAGAACCTGCCAGTCCCTGGCATCACGCCCTTCAATGGCTCCCCCTGTCTGCAGGACAAAGTCCAGACTCTTTAGCAGGAATCAGAATGGTCTCCTGCCACTTCCCTGTCCCACTTATGATTTTTACTCTAGCTCCATCAGACAGCTTGCAGATCTTTGTATGTATCTGGGCCCTGTTGGGGAGGTTTGGCTGGGCTGGCCTTTAGGGTACCACAGAGTATGGTGGGAGGGGGAGTGTCTCTCTTTCATACTTGCAAGTCATAGAGTGGATCACACCCCAGAGTCCAGAAGATAAGGTCAGGAAAGCATGTTCATCACATGTCATTGGGGCCAGAGGCCTGGAGGCCAGAATTAGGAGCGGAAGATCTGAGCCAAGGAGATCAGAGACCCTTGTAGGTACAGGCAAGGAGCTGGAGAGAGGAGCTGTTTGTGCCGCTGTCAGAGCTGGTGACTGACTCTTCCTGTGCTTCTGAGCTGTGCTGAGAATAGAACAAGCGAGTAACCAGATTCCTTAAAGGGCCTTTTGCACTTCCAGGCCTTTGCATGTGCTCTTTCTTTTGCTGTCCTTTTCATTTTCACTTCTGAACTCCTATTCATCCTTCAAAACCTCATTTGTGTATCAGCATCTCTGAAAGTCTTCCTTGACCCTCTCAGTACTTCTCTGTACTGTTTCCATTCCCTCGGCATACTTCTAATCGTACACGCCTCATATCCTCATTTCAATTATTATATTTTTTATTTATTTGGGGGGGAGGTAGTTAGGTTTATTTATTTATTTCTTAATGGAGATGCTGGGGATAGAACCAAGGATGTCATGCATGCTAAGCAGGCACTTTAATGCTGAGCTATCCACTCCCCCTCTCAATTATATTTACCTGTCTGTGTCCCTCTTGTTAGAATGGAAGTGTCTGGATAGTAAGAACCTTGTCTTAATTGTCTCTCTATCCCCAGCGCCTAGCACAGTGCCTGACACACAGTGGGTGAATTATATATAGTTCCTGAATTGAGTATAACAGATAGAGACTAGGGAGAGAGAGGGAGCGCTGGTGGGTGGACTTCCTGCCCCCAACCTGCTGTATGGGTTTAGCAGAGCTGCCATTTACCGCTTGGTGCCTGTCCATTACACAGCAAGGCAATTGGTGCTCTGGAGTGGCCCAGATGTCCCTCTGTTTAATCACATCCAATAACATGATGAAGTGAAAAGTCAAATAGCTGCTTCATACCACAGAGCAAGAGTTAAGTTCAAGGCTGAGAAATGAACTGAGGTCTTCCCAACTCCAAAGCCAGTGCTTTAGTCCTTGGCCTCAGAGTTAGCACAAGGGAAAAATAACTTCCTTATTGCTTTGAAATGCCTGTATTATTTCTCTTCCAACCCGTGAGCCAGCCAATGGTTTGTTGTGGGGGCAGTAGGTAGAGATTGCTGAGAGTAAACTAACATGGTGCCACTCATGGGCAGGAATCTTGGAACTTCCCCTCCGTTCCCTAACTAGTTAGACCTTCTGGAATCCAGCCCTGTCAAGTTTTCAGACGAGTCCTGGGGTGTACTGTCAATGTCTTACCAACTTTGATAAATCCTTTGAATTCTAAAATTTAGAAAAAACAGGCCCCATTCCACTGGCCTGGCCTACTAGGAGAATTCTGGCTCTGCATTAAACATCAGGAAAAGACACAAATAGAGTCTGGGTGTTTACCTCAGAGCAAACACACACATATAACACTAAGCCCAATCCAGAAAGCTCATCTTCCACCCTCAAGTAACCCCAGTCGGCTATTTTCAATTCATGAGTCTATTTGTCTCCCCAGATTTTATGCTCTTTGTCTTAATTTTATGTTCTGACCTTCTCTGGGAGATGTCTTAGTTTAGGGTCTGAACCTATGGGAACCTAAGATAAATGAGAACATCCAGCTCCTTGCCCTACCTTTTGATGAATGTCAGTATCATAAGTTGTCAAAAATCAGGCTTTGAGGGAATGAAGACTTGGGAGAACATTGGGCAAGTAACTTTTTTTTATTGAAGTATAATTGATTTATAATATATTAGTTTCAGGTGTACCACATAGTGATTCAGTATTTTTACAGATTATACTCCATTTAAAGGTATTACCAGATAATGGCTGTAATTCCCTGTGCTGTGCAATAGATCCTTGTTGCTTATCTATTTAATACATAGCAGTTTATATCTCATACCCCTAATCTGCTCCTCCTCTTTCCCTCTCCCCTTGGGTTAGCCACTCTTTCAGACTCAATTTTTCCATCTGTTAGATGGGGATAACCTTGTCACAGAGAAATAATATATGGGGAACATCTTGTAAAGTGCTGGCACAGTGTAGGTTCACAGAAAATTATGGTCGGTATTGTACTATTACTCTGAAAATAATCTCATAAGGTTCCGTTACGTCCTGGGGTCCAGTTTTCAGCATCTAATTTGCTCTCCTTCTCACTCTGGCTGTTTCCTTTGCCTCTAGCAATTGCTCTGTTCCTCATTATCTGTTCAGCTTTCAGGAGTCTTGGATTCCAGTCCAGGCTCTGTCATGACAAGGCTGTGTGTCTTCAGACCAGTCACTTAACCTCTCTGTACTTTCTCACCTGGCAACAAAGGTGTGGGCAGATGACCTCTAAGCCCATCTCTTCCAGCTCACTCTGTGATTTGTGCCCTGAAAAGACCAGAGAGGGGATTGCTAAGGGGCCTCCTCAGAGCTTCTGCTCATCTTGGCCTGAAGCCAGAGGCTCTGGCCTCAGTGCCAGTCAAGCAGCCAGCTGCTGCTCCCTTGTAAATTCAGAAAGCCTTCAGCTTCCTCAGAGAGTTTCACATTGATATTATAGGACACTTGGACTCAGGAGGCCTCAGTTTCTTTCCTGTCTGGGTGAGCTGGGCCTGGATTCCCGTGGAAGGGCAGCGCTGCTGGCTCAGATCAGCCGCAGGTCTGACGTTACAGTTAAGAAGCCACACAGCGTGCTCCACTGCACACATCCGGTCCTCCTAACACTCTCCGGGACAAGGCGTTACTTTCACACTAACTAGTGACCCGTGGCTGTGGCGGTTCCCAGGACCTGTGTTTCAAGAAGGGACGTACGTGCACAGCTCCTTGATCACTGGCAGATTGTCCACTGCTGACATCAGAGCATCTCCGGTTCCCCACAGACTGCAGGTGGAAGGGAAAAATGAGGGCAGACAAATAAGGTCTAGGTGAACTGGATCATTAAAATCTGTAGGAAGGAATTTACCACTGACTGTGTGATTTTAAAACCTTCCTGTATACCTGTCTATCGGTGCCTGTATCTATCCGGCTGGGTGTGTTTTTTAACCAGCTTGTGGAAAGCTGAACAAGGACTTTGTGCTCCAGACAATGGCCGAAAGGCGTCCTGCTCCTTGATTCTGGGGTTGCCATGATGACCGTCTTCTGAAAACTACAAGCCTAAGCTACTTTTACTAGGCCAGTAGTCCAAACGACTGCGTTCCCAGCTCTTCCTCCACCCTGCCCCACTGCCAGAAAATATCTCCATATTTTCTTTTCCCTGGGGAGGGCAAGGGGAGAAAAGGCCGACAGAAATGACATCAGCACTGCTGGAGGATTGTTGGTATAGAACCCGGCTGTCTGGCCCCCCCCTTCTCCCTACAAACCAAAGTCTGACCTCATACGTCATTTATGCCACAAATCAGCTTTCTGCGCTCTAAATCAAATTGGGAAGAAAGAAATAATATGATCAAGGATACATTCTCATTCTTCTGTTTTAGCACTGTGAGTCACAAAGAATAATACACTGCCTTGGCCTCTCTGTTCCCCAGGGTAGGCACTCCCTGATGAGGGGATAGGAGTTTAGTCAAGAGCATCACTTCCTCCAGGCCACAAAGGCATTGTTAGGTGGTTTACTGCTGTGGTTATAGACGGCGGATGGCCTACAGAGGGAGGTCTGTTGAGTTGAACTTTACTCCCTTAGAAGTAGAATTAATTAAGATCCCTAGGGAAAATGTGAATTGAGCAAGGTAAAGATCTAATTATCTAAGGGTCATTCCACTTG